CTATAAGCACATTTAGCCATCAGTACGATCATCGAGAGACTGCTTAATTAAACCATTTAATTTTTTTATTTAAGAAAGATTTAATAATGTCGTACTACAAATACTTCAACAGACAATGTGCGTATTCAGAATTTTAAATCTTCAACATTACTTTTAATTGTTAACCTTTAAAAAATTATCTTATCAATAATTCATCATCCTAATTATGAATATGGTCGTCAAAGGTCAATTGAACCTGTTCAAGTTTGTTGAACTTAAATACCATTTACTAAACTAGATGGTTACTTTCATTTTTGACTACACATAGACTACTGCAACTTGGCGTTCTAAAAAACGTTAATAATAAAAGCGTTCAGTAGAATTTTCTTTTGAGCCACCGAAGCAACGATTAAGTTAGTTTCTGTTAAATACCACTTTCCTTTTTACACACTAACCTTTTTAATCATGCATAACTATTTTTTTGTTTCTACACAATATTTTAGTGTGAAAAAATGAAGGGGGAATAACTTTGATAGGGGCACGTTCTCTTAGGGGTGATTCAACAATATCCTTTCAAAGAAATTCTGACCATAGTTGGTCGACAAAGATGGGACGTCAGTATGTGGTCACGACTCAATCAACGGTCTCCAAGAATTGCCTCCAAGGTAAGACAGATAACTATGTATGGGTGTTTTTAAATAATTATCGGAGGCAATGGAATCTCGCCAACACTAAGTTTTCAAACAACTACTACTATTTATTTTGGACGACTAATGTACAGTATCCCATCTACGTTCAACGCGTATGGCTGCGTCATTAACCACACCAACACGTTCTTGAAATGTTAACGTACAAAAGATGATTATGATTTTAATATAGGCATATACTTGCATGCATGACGAAAATAACATATTGCATATCTACTTATGCATATTGATTGAAGAAATACTAATTGTCTAAACCCGAACTCTTTCTGCTAGTAAAATACTAATGATCGAGAAATTAGTATGTAGTAGGCGTCGATCTGGTGTTATTAATCTATATCCTATATCCTATATCATATATATTACATCCTATATCATATATCATATATCCTATATCCTATATCCTATATCCTATTCACATCACAAAGCTATTTGGCAACAGTTTTATACGTTGATATAATTATAAGCTACTGTTATCTATCCATCTATATAAATAAAATTAGAGTTTTGTCTGTACATTGCTCAGAATCATACATTTTTAGGTTATTTTTACGTTTTATACATTAAAGAAGCCGAAAAAAGTCTCATCTAAATTTCTGTCTGTCTGTCTGTCTGTCTGTCTGTCTGTCTGTCTGTCTGTCTGTCTGTCTGTCTGACACACTCAAGATGGCATTTTACGCAATCTTCTCCAGGAAAACGAGAGTACCCATCAAGACCCAAGTCATTTTAATGTATTCACTGGATTGGCGAGAGTGTCTTTAGCCATTAAAATATGGTCTCACTACTTTGTAATTAAAATTACGGCCGTTCAAAAATGCAGTTTTGTGCGATTTTTGTCAAGTTTTCTTCCAATTTGTATCACATAATCATCTATGAAACAACGAACAGCTGTTCGGATCAAGATTATTTTTTCTAGCTGTCACTGAAATGTTTACAAATGTTGTTTACAAACACCACAACCATTTCCGATCACGTTTTGAAGGCAAATCCCATCCAAGTGAGATTAAAAACGTTTTTATTACACAATAAAGGATTTAATTAATCGCAAGTGGAATAATATAGTGTAACCGTAAATTAAATAACTAGGCATCATCCAGGTCAGGAACCAGAAATATGTGTATAAAATTGTTTTGGAGTTTTGATAACCAGAAAGAATACATTTAATCAAGATTGAATCAGTGTTGTATACGGCTGGGAAACTTAAATTTACTAATGACCGTCGCCAATAGCTTAGAAACAATGTTCCACTCATTGACGGCTCTTCAATGGCGGTTGTGTAAAGTGTAAAGCAAAAAATTACAACTGCAGTGGGTGATTGTAACAGAGGTTTACGGATGATGCTGAACTCGATTTTCCAATTTGTCACTTTCTGTTCCTACCATTGACTATATAAAGTCAATAGTTCCTACTCACCGTGTGATGCAATCGCTGGACCATACAGCCAATAGGCCCATAGCCCTTCTCTTGGGTACGTGTGGCATGTATGCTTACCCAATTTTTTATAACAACCCTTTCGAAAACGATCCTTGATACCGGTACTTTTCCATAGAATACACGGCCTACCTAGGTACTTAAGAAATAAAATTATAAACGTCCAAAAACCCAACGTTGTGTGATTTTTGTCACATTTTCTTATAATGTTAATATATATACCAGCAACCATTGTTTAGAGAATACGTAATCTATTAAATAACAGAAAGTTATGTTGTATAAGGTTTTTTTTTCAAACTGACACCGATAAGTTTACATTAAGAGTTGTGTACAAATAAAGCAATTAATGGGAAATAACTTTGATTGCCGATAACTTTTTACGAGAAAATCCAAAACCAAGAGATCAATAACCTTGATTAACGCATATAATTGGTCGGCTGTACTACAGTTCTTAACTGTAAACGTTGGTTTTTGGTACGGTACTGGTTCTTTTCCTTTTAACCTTTAGTAGCAGCAAGAATCATTTTTACGTACCAACACATCACAGTAATTTACAAATTAGTTATCGTTGGTGTTGCACCTTATTTATTACAGGCGTAGGCCTATTCAATTTAATTGATGTCTTAACTGTATAATTTTTGCTTTTTCTGTCTGGATTCCAAAATGTTATGCTAAGAAAACTATAACGCATTTTAGTAAAACATTTATTCAGCAAACCATCATGAATTGTTCAAACACTTTGAACGTTGTTTATGTATCAATAGTTCGTGGCCTATTTTGGTAATTTTTATTACAAATTACCAATCTAAATCGTCTATAGTAGGCCTACTGTACTTCATTTCATATAGCAAACCGATTCAGATAGCATTTCAACAGAATTTCGAGTCATCTCCGGTCCAAGCAAATATAAATTGTTATGATCAAATGTTATGGCATTAATAAAGATTTCAAGTACTAATTTTATATGTACCTTTTTATGCTTAAAGCGTAGCAGATTCCCTAATTAAGTTTGGTATTTTTGTGTGTATGTATGATGGTAACGCATTAATGTCCTTGTTTCTCAATGTTTCACGGAAAGGACAAGAGCGCCTTGATAATGAAAATGTCAACCCGAATAAAGTGTTAAATTAAGAGGTTGAGGTAGTACACCTTGAATACTTTTAACCATTATGTTATAGTCCTTTAAATTCTGAACAAAATTGTACAAATCCCATTTCCGTATATTTACTCTCACCGCTTACACATGATAAAGGTTGTTGACAAACTTATGGGAGAAAGTATGTGTCAGAATGCTGATACCGTTTATTTAGTCATTGGATATAACATATGGACCAACAAGATCCGGGTGACATTTAATTGCGAAGCATTAGTTTTGGCTTGAAACTGTCAGATACTGTATTTGCGAAGGAATAGTTTTGTCAGCATATCTGAAAGTATGCAAACCAACTGCTGTGCTTTATATAAGAAGGTTTTAACTGACTATGATAAGATCCCCGTGCGTAGAACGGGCACACAGCTAGTACTATTATAAAATTGAGGTGGTGTCTGTGTGTCTGTCTGGCCAACTGTCACGACTAAAATACTAAATCGATACAGCCAAAATTAAGAACAAAGATGGTCCACATATCCAGGAATGTCATAGACCCATTCACTTTCCTGAGTTCCTCTCGGTCTCGGGCTACAACCCTTAGATGTCCAAAGTCTTGAGGTAAGGTTTTTAAAAGTAAGTATTAATTGGCCTCCATGGAAGCATGAGAAAATTCACAATGTTTACCTCTGCGTTCACATTTATTTAAATGTACACAACCATAACTACCAAATGCTCATTTCACAATTTCAGACAGCTGATCTAAAGAAATTAAATATATTTTACACAACTATGTGGTAGGATTATTTAATCTTAAAAACTGTATGATAGATTATTTATTCTAAATATATTTCAATGATTATGAAACAGCTCTTTCTTCCCGTTGCGAAGCACGGGTACAGCAGCTAGTTATTAATATAATATATTAGTATGAGCACCAGCATGAAAATCCCAAATGCAATGGAGATGCTTGTATAGCCAATGTTGAGAAATTGTTCCAAAAGTCATATAACAGACTTTTTATTTTTTAACCATTTTCAGTTATCTGTTTTGTAGTTATTTTATGTAAACTTTTATGAGCTTCAATACACTAATTCTTTCTAACGTAAACATGCTCTCCTATGTAGGCATATTCATATTCCTAAAGGATAAGGCAGTTTTGAGTTATGTTTTTGTCCGGATGAGTGCTTTGAAGCCTACTATTTAGGTATTTATTTCACTACCTTTAAAATTACAATATTGAAGTTAAACTACCTATATGTAATCTACACGTGTATATAGTCATAGACAAAACGAATTAAATATAGACCGTCAGCCGTGCTGCGGTTAGGTTCTGGCGCACACCGCTGGGAGCGCCATGTAGTTATGGCGTACGAACTAAGAAACTACATGGCTCTCCCAGCGGTATGCGCCAGACCCTATGGTAACCTCAGCACGGCTGACAGTCTATATTCAATTATTTCTTTCTATGATATAGTGGTATTTCAACCAAATTACAGTAATGCACGCACTATTAAACGTAACTAGAAACGTTTATTTGATACTCAAGTATCATCAGACTTGGTCCACATCAATACGTATAATAACACATCAGGTTGTGGAATAAGGTGGAAAAACTACTTGCAATATACAACATCAATTAGATCCAATGTCAGAGTACAGTAAATTTACAAATGCGGCCCTTTATTCAAATTCTCATCTCCATATCATGTTACCCTGTATACTCAATGTAAATTAGAATACGCGGTCTATAGCAATTAACTCTACACACGAACCAAGGGAAAAAATCCAGTCATACATAAGTACAAAACATTTATTGTGAGGTTCACCGGGAAAATCAAGGAGAGAGGATGACGCGCAGCTTGATCCTTGAGCAGTTTGACCTTGGAGGAAGTTCAAGGTCATTACACAGTCATCACCTGTAAACAAACGCGTAATTACTGCAGAGGAGACATGAAGTATCTGCAGTGAAAAACTTCACGTAGCTGATATTGAACTATCGTTGTGTTTGTTCTTTGAGTGTAAATCCCTAAATCTGTCCCTTAAAAATTAATCTTTCGATTGGCTATAGTATGATTGTAAATTGAATTAGAGTTGAAAATTCCTTGGCTAGAAGTCAGATCAATATTTACGTACAACCAAAAAACTCATAGAATAATTATGTTTATATTATTTTGGATTTAAAACAATTGTTAGAGTTTAAATCTCCTAATGCGCAATGCGCCAACGATTAATTGTTGTACATTACATAAAACCACTATTAGACGTTCAGTATTCTTAATGCCATATTTTTTAATTAACTCGATAAAAACGTTAATGATAAACCGTAGGTAATCTATTTGTCGATTTCAATAGGGGACTTTCAATACCACAACAGCCAACAGTTAGTTATAGTAATCCAAATTCATAAACAATGAACCAATTTAAAAGAGCTAAAGAAAACTTTTGAAAAATGTATATAAACCTAATTGTTATCCAACTATTATTATACTAGATTAATTTGTAATATTTTTTGTCACACACAGACTGCCAAAGTTCTTACTTTAATAGCAGTACATAATATTACGAGATTACATTGCAAATAGAAAGTTGTTTCTTGACCCCTAGGAGCTAGACGAAAGACTTTTCTTGATATCTTAATTATACACTAACACTTTTTATGGGAAAACAACCCAAACCTCAAACCGCTAAAGGCAATTAGGAAACCAAGATAGTAACCACAAAGCCATTAACTTGTACAATGCTATCCTAACAATGTAACTAAATTAGCTATGCAATGTTACAAGGTGTCAAGTTTTTCAGTTGTATGTTGATTATGGGAGCAATTTAAAAATGTAAAAAAAAACCTAAAGGTACAAAATGAGAAAGGTTTTTATAAGCAGTGTCCAGATGTAGGACCTCTAACGCCTTTTAATTCCTTTTTAGAGAGCGAGCTGGCGCGGTGGTTAGAGCGCGGGACTTCAGTCACTGAGGTACCGGGTTCGATCCCCGCCAAGTCACCAATGGATTTTATCTAAGTGATAATGTCGCAACCCCTAGGTCTAGCCTGAAATAATGTGAAAAACAATTCCAGCCTCATGCCTAGCGTCCTAGGAAAAAACGCCTTTTAATAATTGACAAGTCTTACCATCCTCCGGAGAAGGAGCCTGAGGAGCTTTGGGCAGAAGAGGACGCAGAAGATTGAGAGTATGAGCCACCGCCCCCGCCACTATGTCCGCCCCCGCCGCCACCACAGGTGGAACATCCGCCACCTCCACCACCTATGTGGTTGCCACCTGACGGGTAGCCACCTCCACCCCCTGACGGATAGCCACCACCTCCGCCGCCATAGTGTCCACCTCCACCCCCTGATGGATATCCTCCACCGCCTCCACAGTTGCCGCTAGCACAGCCACCTCCGCCGCCATAGTGTCCACCGCCACCACCGCCTCCTGGATAGTAGCTACCACCTGTAACATTCCAGTAATGTAAACAATGTCAATCATAACGGCAAGTATACGAGTATTTGTGTTGATGAAGTATGGCAAAATCTGCTCATTTAAAAATAAAATCGTTTTCACGGTTTTTATTTTACTTTTAGTATGTGTCTTTTTACGCTATTGGTATGTTTACGTTATATTGTAAGGAAATAGTACATGCACTGGTCTTATTAACATCTGAAGTCGCATTTTGGGTAGAAGTAGCCTATATAGCATCTGGAGCCAGAACCCCTCTCGCTTGGTATTGAACGAGTAATCAGATGTGGAAGTCGAGCAAGATGATCAATTCGCCACCCAGACGATTAATACCGTAATGTAAAAACTGTCTAAAATGCTATTTGAATGATTTACATTATTCGTCATGATTATAAAAAAACAATTTTTATGTAGCATTTCGGGGTCTACAATCCGCTTTCCTTCGTACGTGATGAGTAGCCAGACCTACAGCAGTCTCGCTAGAGTCACCATGTTGTCTGTTCATTTACTCGTACATACCCTCTATTAGTACTGACTATTGTTTACTTTCAGAATTTGCCGTTTCTGGTTTGACTCAGATAAGTTCTTTATGTGGTTTTAGTTCTGTAATTTGCCTGGGTACAATAAATCTTGTTGTACTTTGTCACCTGAGAAAAGGGATCAAATTCAATATCTTAAAAAGCTTTGAATATAATGGTTACTGTACCGGTACCTAATGGGAAAATCCTCAATTTTCTTTAAAAACTTAAAATACCATTTACAAAAATTACCATAAGCGAACATTTTCTAAAATTTCCTTCTCAATTGGTAATTGAGAGGAATATAACTCACCACCTCCTGGGTATCCACCTCCACCCCCGTAAACTGGCTTAGTCTTGATAGGGATGACGACTATAGTGCCGCCTCCACCGCCCCCACCTCCACCTCCACCTCCATAATGTCCACCGCCGCCCCCGCCACCTCCACATCCACTGGGGCCGCAACCTCCACCGCCACTGTGTTCCCTAGGGACAAAAAGACGACCAAGTTCGGTAAAACACATGTAATCAGAGGCTAAAAAACTAAGTAAAACGTACAGTATACAATGCAACTGTGTATATTTTTCTATGGACTATTCTATTTTAGAGGTATACAATTCCAGTAAGGCTGTGCCATTGTAAGCTTAAATGCACCAATCATACAGTGTATCAAGTACCATTACCTATCTTATACTTTACAAAAACGTTTTATTCTTGCCAAACAGAAAGATGTTCTTTTGATAAATTTTCCCCATCGAAAGGAACTATTTAGTAGCATGCAACAGTAAAATTGCAAATTTTAAGTCTCCTACAAACTTTCACATAATCTTTAAATTATCAACAGAAAAATTAATTAAAGTATTGATAGTAACCCCATTCTTAAGGGACTTAATTTGTTACCGCTCTGGGCCACATTGGCGATACAGGTCAATTTATATATTGATGTTCAATCAGTATTTCTAATTTATTTATTCTAATGTATTTCTATGTGTTACAAGTCAACTTTACTAAGGTTTATCCCAGTTATAATTCTTTACTTGATTTACTACAGTGAATTTCACCTGAACTGGGGGCAAAGATATTTGAGACCAAGACATCGTTTACATGGCTTAATCCTAAAGTATGGTGTAACTTACTGTCCATAGCCACCACCCCCGTAGCCGCCTCCAGGCCCACTGCCCCCGGCGCACACCGAGCAGTAGGCGCCGCCTCCGTAGGTCTTCTTGTGATGATGCGTTGGTGACCTCCTCAGCCTAGCTAACAGTGGGGATACATTTTCTATTGCAGCCTGAAACATGCAGAGTCACATTCATTGTCATGATTGTCAACAAATTCATACAAAAGCGTTCATAAAACAAATCAGTTGCTAGTTGGAAATATAACGGTTATTCAAGGTTTTCGAGTCTGAATTATTAATTCCTTAGTAACAAATAATCTATTTTTGTTAGCAAAATAATTCAAATAACTTTTTATTTTTAAAGATATCGAAAATAATATGCAGTAGGCTGCAATTTGTTTGAAATTTCACTATTATATTAAGGCAAAAAACACGCTGGTAAAAAATTTAAATTTGAATACCATACAACAAAATTCGGTAACAAACTATACTTACATTTTTCTGAGCGTCTGTTTCTAAATTTAATACTTGAAAATCTGCATCATCTGTAAAGAAAAAATATAACAATTTAAATATAAAACTATATTATGTAGTCCGGTAGGATTTTACCATAGATAAAACATACTCCTCACATTCATGATACGTAATGGAAAAAATATTGGTCATAGTAAAAGTATTTTATAGGCAAAAGCTGTATCCACATACAATTTAAAATTAGGTACTTAGATAGGTTATTGCATTCAGTTTCATTAAATGTTATGGTTAATCTCAGAATTCCATTGACTAGATAAAGATAGTCTTTGTTAATAATTGCCTAGACAGTTTCTTTATTTATTTGTTATTCGGAAGATAAACTTTTAGCGTAATCCTTGAGATAATATAAGAGCATTATGTGTGTAGGCATTATGATGAATTTTTTTGTAGACTTTCCCATTGGATCATGAGTTTAAGATGATTGCAGATGTGCTCTGTTTGGTCTCAATCCGAATTCCATTTTAAATTGTGTAAATCTTCCAATAACTATACTGCGTATTATAAAAAACTAGCTGTTACCCACGGGCTTCACCCCGTTTGACGTCATAAGTATTAATAAAACTATTGATTGGTTAAGTTAAACTGAAATAAACAAAAAAGAATACAGTAATACAAACAATCACACCTGATTTTAATAAAGCAATGAATTAAAAGAATAGCATACAAATAAGTACAGCTGATGTATTTTTAACATTAGGTATATATAAAGTTCCGTTTAAAAGGTAATTACAACCTTAAGGGCGATTTATGAAATAATGGATAGTTTTGCGCAAGGATTCTCGTCATGACAAACATTTTAAGTATATGGGTTATGGGGGTGTGACATTTAGTTTTCTCAAAAGTTCATGGGTACTTTGGGATTTATATATGAATACCCTTTTATACAATAAATACAAAAAAAAAATTAACTTCAATAGTTTGATGAGTCAATCCTATAGTAATTGTGTTTAAATTAATCCAACACGTTAAAAAAAAAATGGTTAAAACTACTTTACGGTTAACGCCAACTTCATTTGTTATAGTTACATTTCAACAACTACTATAATTCAAAAATGTTCCAAACTGTTCAAATTAAATGTGTTTACACACCATAAATGGATAATTTTAGTGATAGGGTATCTTCTTGCTACGGTAACATTTATCGTAGCAAGGGATGTATTGCAATTACCTACTCAGTTTTACATCCTACATGAAAAGCAGTATATAGTTTAGGTAGGTATAATAACATCAATTGCAAATCTATCTTTTGCTAAGTGAACCTTTTCGACAGTTTCGTCTTTTTGATGTATATAATGGCTAGATAATTGCGTGGATAAATTTCTTCACCTTAATTACAAAATGTTTATGAATGATTCATAACCAACCAACAATCCAAAGGTTGCCGATTCGATCAGAAAAGAAGAAGAAGCGCTTTCAAAAAGAAGATGAGCGCTTTCGAAACTGTCCATGGCTGTTCATGGGGGCTTTTAAATAAATAGTCCAGACTATAGGTAAAAATACGCCTTGTTTAATCCTTATCTGTTACAAACAAACTTCAATAAAAACTCTTGAACACAACTTGATTTATAAAACTAAGCAGCTACTAACCTTTTAATGAGCATCAACCAATCTTGTTTCACAAGCAATAATTAAAGACGCATCAATAATATAACAAGTATTTCCACACCTTAACCTATATTTTACACACATAAACTAACCTTTGTTCTCAGCGAGTGCAGGGACCACCAGTAGCCCCAGGAGTACGACCCACATCTCCTTCATGTTGACTCTAGGACTCTTCAGGACGGAGGACTCGTTTATATCGGTGTCCTGGCATGTAGTGCAGCAGTTCGCCGAAGTCGGGGATCCCCAACTGACCATTTCAAGGACGCTACATCCTGATATGCTCATGTGCTGAGGCTGATGTGCAATTATAAACGTTTCACGACCCATTGTAACGCCCCATTCCGATCATCATCAGGACAACACCATTGCTGAGGCCAAGGTCAAAGATGCTGATGTACTGGCGAGGATCGTTGACTTTGGATAGTAATGTACAAAGTAGACTTGTATCTGAAGTTTTGATGCGGGTTTTAAGGCAAATTATGTTTGAGTGTACTGCCGATAAAACTTAACCATCACAATTTTAACCTAAGCTAAGTACCATAGGATACACAATTGCTTCGTAATTTTTACACTTTCGTAGTTTTACTGTTGGTTAACTTACAAGAAGTACAACAAAGTAATACATAAATGAACGGAAATATACATTGAAGTCCTCCGCGAATGTCTAAGGATATAATGTAGGAGAGTATGTAAAATGCATAGATTTAGCCCGTACATTTCATGTTAAGGAGGTCCACATTTGGTTTAGGATTATAAATATCCAATGAATTCAATGAGTGACAGAATTACAAGTCGTTACTTATTCTTTTGTCTGAGATTACTCTGCACCCGAATAATTAGCCTAAAGCCTAATGAGATTTTTGGACCATTGCATTATTAAGTCATTGTAACGTTTACAAATTTACTGCTATATTTTTCTCAAAGAATACATCTATATATATCTACAATATACCTTCATGTATCTGCTATAGAACTGACATTGAGAATTAAGAGAAATGTAAACGAAACACATAAGGCCTACATTTATAATTTATCACAAAATATTAAATAATTTGAATGAGCATTTAACAGAAGAACTTAATGCAATTAACTTGTTACTTAAAGTAAATAAAGGACGAAAAGCAAACTAAAATCAAGAACATGGAATACAATTTGTATATATGTAATAAATTGAACATTGACGCTAAAGGTTTTGGAACTAGAATTGTACATTCTTAAACTTACTTAATGCAATCCTCAGACAATGGTAGAACACAACTGAATAATGTTCGTTATTACACACGAAGAACCCGGCAAAATGTAGAAATTAAACCATTCTGATTGTTTTTATAAAGGGTATCGCCATTCATTTTATCTTTGCATTTTTCAACCAATCTTTATGGTATGTATGTTAAGGTAGAGAAGAGACCCGTGTTTGAAAGAAAAGTTATCTTGATTCAACTTAAAATTTCAAAATTGCGGCAATTTTGATTTTGTAATTGTAAATTACTAAAATATGGCTGATTTTATGAAATAATGTCGAGAACCATTTTAAGAAGCCATTTTAAGTTCCTTATCAAACAACAGCTAGTTTAAAAAGATCGAACATCAAATAGCTGAAATATCACGATTTTTAGTTGTAAAATGGGGTAGAATAAGGCTAAGATAGGTTTGCCTCGTTTTACAACTAAAAAACATGATATTTCAGTTTTCAATTTGTTTATAGAACCTTTCAAATGCAAAACTACTTATTTAATAGACCAAATTACTTTACGATTTTAATAAAGTTATTTTATTAGCCATAACCCCTAGGAGTTTATAGTCAAAGTTTATATCCACAGCCAGCGTCCATCATCTGTTCACATCTCTGAGTGATGTATGTAATGTGTTTCAAAGTCATCCACTTTGAATAGAGGATGAACAATCATCGCCAAGAATAACTTGATTGACAGCCTTGATTATCAATAATTGACAACTCACTCTGAGTAGGGGATTAAGTAGTTATTATGACATACCCTGTACGTTGTGTTACTCTAGTAGTATTTTACCACAATAGCGACCACACATAACTTCTATATTGTCACCATATCACAAATATTCATTTTACATTGCTTAGACATGACTGGAATATATAAATAACAAAAAGACCTACAGTATTAAAAAAAATATTTTCATTTGTAGTTACAAAATGGCAGCCTTTTAAAAATATTTAAAATAAAATAACATAAAAACTACATAACTAAACAATACCACTTTGGTAAAGTCTCATTTAGAAAGTTTTCCAACAATACCAAATTTTAAAAAATACGATCATAAATAAGAGAGGTAACTAATTTTTAAGATACTGTATTTTAAACAATTTCTGTGGTCATTGAGTAGATCACTGCTGGTTAGCTAAAACCATCAGCTGTTTTGATTGTTGGTTACTCGATGAGCGCAAATATTGATGTACACAGTATATTAAAAATGAGTTTTTCCTACAGACACCTAACAATGTACATGTTCTCTCACTGATTTGAGAAAGCAAAGTGGCCAATTCGCTCATCAATGAGACAATGTTAACATTGTCTCACTCCAGATTTGCAACGTGAAGGCACGAAATAGTGAGCGTGTAACATGCAGGCAACGTCGTATGCGCTCGAAATACGTTGGCAGCACTGGCTGTAAATCAGCTGGTCAGCTGTTGTACTGTTGTATTTGTCACTTCACATTAAATGTTATATTAAAAGTTCACTTCTGTGTAAAAATAGGTTATGTTTCTTCACCAATTTATTTGTTTTATGGTAACTGTAGGAAAAGTATAAACTCGCCTACGGCTCGTGTGTAAGGATTTCTCTCGAGTGAGTCAATTGCTCACTTTTCTCACTAGTTGCACAAATAACTATTCTCACTTATTTATGAACCCATTATCTTAATTTTTTGTATAGTTTAAATTGTAAAAGGTCTTAATAAAACATCACCACAGTAGTTTGACCTACGCAGTGTTTATGTTATTCCAGTTAAACCATATTTAATTGTCGCTATTATGAAACTACAAATATTAAAAAAAAGGTTTTGTTCTCAAAATAGGAATAGGCTTTATCTATGCACCAAACTCCAATTCACTACAAAACCGTTATCAAATAAACTATAGTTTTGTGAAAACAAAATGGTGGCTGTACATGGAATTTTGGAGTTTTGGACATTTTTACGTGATAATTTAGTTTGTCTTGGTCTATAAATGATATCTTAAAAGTTTGGTAGAGAGTTCTTGGCTTGTTGACTGCACATTGCATGAATGAGAAAATATTCATTTATATAAATTATTAAATTTGATAATTATATTTCCTATAAAATATAATAATTATTCTCTTTTTTAGCGAATTTCCCATATAGGGAATAAGCTATTACCGTAGTACTCATGGTAAGACCTGGACCCGGGACCGATTTTTTTTCGTTTTGAGGTCCCTAGAGGCCAAAAACACCATCCGTTCAAATGCATATATATATATATATATGTGTGTGTGTGTGTGTGTGTGTGTGTGTCCGTTAGGGCGATAACTCGAGCAAAAATGATCCGATTTTGATGAAATTTGGTACAAACGTGTAAAACTACGTTTATTCGAACGAGTTCGCGAACCAGCATGATCGGACCATGGGAACGGGGGTTTATGGGGGCTTTTATGGGGTAAAAATGGGTTTTTCCCATTTTTTACCTAAAAAACATAACATTTTGCAATTTCTTTCTAAACTATTTTGTAGAGCTTAAAAAAACAAATAATTTAGTATATTGAAGTGTTATAATGCGCCTAATAGTTACGGAGAAAATTCCAAAAAATTGTAAATTTAAAATTTCCATGTTATTCTTATGGAGAATAAGTAAACTGTTGTAGTTTGCTTGTTTATTAACATATTTTGCCAAAATTTGGAAAATGTTTTTATTTCTTACCAACTATTAACATTTTACATAAAAAACACTTTTACCCTCCCTGTTGCAGCAAACCTAATTATGTTTTAAACTGATTCTTTTTAAATAGGGAATAAATGTGATATTTTTAAGGAGACATTTTAGTGTAAATCCATTCAGGGAAATGGAAATTCGCTTAGTCTGCAGGTTTTCTGCGGCGGGAGTATTCTCTTTTTATAAATGCGAAGGATGTTAAGTAAGAATTTACGGCGTTGGATTTTTTAGGCAAGAGTTTAGACAATATATATTAATTTGGACGTTGGCTTAAGCAAAGTTATCATAGCTCATTTTATAATTTTCAAGAGGACGAAAATATTTTCCTCTTTGTATGTGTCCCAGTGTGAGTCATGTAAAAAAAAGCATTCTTTAAAACATGATTGGAGTGAGAAGAGTTATTGAATTTCAATAATGGGAGGGATTGGTGCCTGTTGAGTGTGTATTTAAAATAAACTTTGGGATTGCTTAGCAGTCGACATTAAAGTATGAAATTTAGTTGACATTTTAACACTTGAATCCAGAATGTTATTTTAGAGGAAAGGTATTTATTAACTTATAGACATTATTCTATCTCAAGAGTGCGTGCACGTGTAAATAAATACAAATTATGTCGTATTTATTTGGGATCCAGTTGTTTTTATTGTATGCGTTATAGTCTAGGCATATTAGGAAAGTTAGGAGAAAGTTTAGGTACAGTCCTAATCACCACTTTTCTTTATGTTTTTTGGGTCGCTGAACACGAATATGAGGTTTGCTGACAGATATTTTGTACGGAACATTGGTTATTTTGTGAAAAACCTTAAAATTTGGGCACTTTTTTTGGTTTTTCAGGCAAATCTCGATAAGTATGGGTTTTTGATAAAATCCTGCTTTGTAAAATTAAAGATGACAAAATTTACTACAAGTCTCCTGTATAATGTTTGTTTCTACGACGAACCGTTTCGCCACTAGAGCACACTAAAAAAGGCCAGAAGTACAAAAAATTAAAAACATTGCTAAATGCTGCCGTTTTACATTACGTTTTCATGGAAACAACCCATGTTACGATAATTTTAACTATTTATTCATGATAACAAACTGAAACACACTTAAAAATACCCCCGCTGCAGCAAACCTGCAGACTAAGCGAATTTCCATTTCCCTGATTGGATTTACACTAAAATGTCTCCTTAGAAATATCACATTTATTCCCGATTTAAATAAAACTTTAACGAGTACTTAGGTTTGCTGCAACAGGGATGGTAAAAAGGTGTAAAATGTAATAATTTAGTATGAAATG